TTGGAGTAATGGATATAAAAAAAATATAAATATCTTTCCCTTTTTGCTTTTAAAAAAAAAATTTTTTTTCCTTATCACCTTTACAATCATACTATAATAATTATACTGAAATCTACAAGCAGTAGATGAATTAGCAGGGAACGTTTTAGTTTTAATTTTTGATAATACAGTTTCATTAAAATTCATAAGAAAGAATTTTATCGTCCGTTAAATTTTGTTTGACTCAAATCCGGATTTATTGTGATCCAATAAACTTTCGAATGATACATACAATAAAAAATAATAATCATACTGAAAATAAACCAAATAGAAAAATCCCACGGCTTTATGGTCCTGGTTGCATCGATGTTAAAATAAAAACGGCTGCAGGAGAAAAAAAATACAAACACCGCGTAAACCGCGGCTTAAATTTGCATAATTTAAATACCGAAATCGACCTCCATAAATACTCAAATTTCCACTTTCCCGTGCATGCCCCTACTACCAGTACCAGGTGAGGCCGCCTTATGCCTTCCTCTCTTTCATTACTTCACACAAACGAAAAAACAGCGGGTAGCCAACCCGATATTGCGGAATCCTCAAACCGTGTCCGAAAGACACAAAATCTCAGCAAATTCACATTCCATAAACAGAATGTAGAGTCAAATCCTTGAATTTACTTCTCTATGGTTACCAAAAAAGAGAAAAATTTAACCTTCTGAGCTCCCAAACACCCCTCTTAACCCATTATCATTCTTTTTTCTCTTGTCGTCTCCTCATCTCTGGGGGTTGGGTGGTTTGATTTTATTCTCTGGGTTTTTCTGAGGAGAAGAGAGTTGGAAAAGAGGAAGTTTTGGGTGGGTTTTGATTCTGATATTTGGAAATTGGTCTTTTTCTCAGTTTCAAGTTGTTGTTCTGCATTACTCAAATTGGTAAGTTTTAATTCATAGTTCTCTCTGTTTATGTTTGAGGGTGAGAATCAAAGTGAAAAAAGATTGAAACTTTTATCCCAACTTTTCTTATCTCTTAGATATCAATTCAGATCTTTATTCCCAATGGGAGATATGTTAAAGTTAAGAACTTTAAGGACTTCCCATGTGATTTTCAGGTTGTACGGATTAAGGCTTTGTTAGGATGATGAGCAGTAAGATGGTTACTGAATCAGAGATGAGGAGACTACCCACAATTCACCATCATAGACAGTCGACTGGTGATGCTGATAGTGAAATCGGCAGCGTTGATTATGACACTTACACAGTCGTCCTACCACCCACCCCTGATAACCGGCCAGCCCCAATTGAAATCTCTATGCAGCCGGTGAGAACTGATAATCAAGGCTTGTCGAATTCTATGTTTAGTGGGGTTAACAATCGTGTTACGCGTACCTTTTCAAAAGTAAAGGTTGTAGGTTCTGATGCAAAAGGGTCATTCTGTGCGGTACCCGGGTGTGGTTCTAGGATGATGAGTGATGGCCAGGGTAATGATATATTCCCTTGTGAATGTGGATTCAAGATTTGTGGGAATTGTTATAAGGATGTATTAGAAGCTGGGGATGGGATTTGTCCTGGATGTAAAGAGCCGTACAAGGGGTTGGATGAGTCTGAATTGGTAGCGGAAAGCCACAGAAAGATGTCCGAACAGGCGAAAAGTTTGTCCATAGTGAAATCAACAAAGTTAAGGGGGAGCCAGAGTGGTGAGTTCGATTATACAGGATTCTTGTTTGAATCTAAGAGGAGTTATGGTTATGGAAATGCTGTGTGGCCAGCTGATGGTGTGGATGGGAACAATGATGGGGTTGGTGGTGGTGGTGGTGGTGGTGGTCCTCAATTATGTTCAGAAAAGCGGTGGAAGCCTCTTTCCCGGAAAGCGAAGATACCAGCTGGGGTTCTTAGTCTGTATCGGTATGAAACTTATTTTTGTAAAATGTACTGACTCTCTATCTTCTATATTGATTATCTCATGTGGTAAACACTCTTTGTTAGTGTGATGGAATGTTTTAGAGCAAGCGAGGTTGCTTTAGAATAATGGTTGAATTGCTTGGTTTAGAATTGAAGGGCTAAAAGAAATTGCTTTAGAATTTAGATTATGGATAGGTTATAGTTAACTGTGATTATTGCAGACTTAGTGTTTCTTCTTAATGATTTGAACATACTCTTTCAGGGTCTTATTTCTGATTCAAATGGTGGCCCTGGGGTTATTTTTACTTTAGAATTCAGATTATGGTTAGATTTTAGTTGATATGATAATTGCAGGCATAGTGTTTCTTCTTAATGATTCAAACATACTCTTACAGGATCTTAATTCTTCTTCGAATGGTGGCCCTTGGCTTATTTTTGCAATGGAGGATCAGAAACCCGAATGAAGATGCAATCTGGTTGTGGCTTATGTCTGTGGTTTGTGAAATCTGGTTTGCTTTCTCTTGGCTGCTAGACCAGCTCCCTAAGCTTTGCCCGATTAATCGTGCTACTGACCTTGATGTTCTTAAAGAGAAGTTCGAAACACCTAGTCCAAATAATCCTTCAGGAAAATCTGATCTACCGAGCATAGATGTCTTTGTTTCTACTGCAGATCCGGAGAAAGAACCACCACTTGTCACTGCAAATACCATTCTTTCAATTCTTGCAGCTGATTATCCTGTTGAAAAACTTTCTTGTTATGTTTCTGATGATGGAGGTGCCTTATTAACCTTTGAGGCCATGGCAGAGGCTGCTAGTTTTGCCAGACTTTGGGTTCCTTTCTGCAGGAAACATGACATTGAGCCAAGGAATCCGGAATCCTATTTCAATCTGAAGAGAGATCCTTACAAAAACAAGGTACGACCAGATTTTGTAAGAGATCGCAGGCGGGTAAAACGTGAGTATGATGAGTTCAAGGTTCGGATCAATGGCCTGCCTGATTCAATCCGGAGACGTTCTGATGCCTTCAATACAAGAGAAGAGGTTAAGGTTTTGAAACGTTGGAAAGAGAGCAATGATGATGAACCAATGGAAAGTTTGAAGATCCAGAAAGCTACTTGGATGTCTGATGGAACCCATTGGCCTGGCACTTGGCAAGTTCCTGCCCCTGAGCACTCTAGAGGTGATCATGCCAGTATCATACAGGTAGTTGTATTTCCCAATAGTTTCTCATCTGTTAACCTTTCAATGCATATACACTGAAATATTTTCTCTGTATTGTTTTGCCTTGCCTGAGATCAAATTTTCACCACCATTCTTTTAGCCTTAGTTTTTAGGGCAGAAGAATTGCTAGTGCTTGATGAAATAAGCTGCATCATAAATAGTTTTATTTTAATGCTGTTAATGAGCTTAAACATGTTGACTTAGAATCTTAATTTTATTAACTTCAGGTGATGTTGGATCCACCAAGTGACAAACCACAGAAAGGTGCAGAAGGTGATGGAAATTCCATGGATCTATGTGAAGTTGACATTCGTCTTCCAATGCTGGTTTATGTCACTCGTGAAAAGCGACCTGGCTACGATCACAACAAGAAGGCAGGGGCCATGAATGCTCTTGTTCGAGCCTCTGCAATCATGTCCAATGGTCCGTTTATTCTTAATCTTGACTGTGATCACTACATCTTCAATTCCCAAGCATTGAGAGAGGGAATGTGCTTTATGATGGACCGTGATGGGGACCGAATTTGTTATGTTCAGTTTCCTCAGAGGTTTGAAGGGATTGACCCATCTGATCGCTATGCCAATCACAACACTGTTTTCTTTGATGTTAACATGAGAGCTCTTGATGGGATTCAGGGTCCAGTATATGTTGGAACAGGATGCCTCTTTCGCCGTACTGCCATTTATGGCTTCGATCCCCCTCCGTCGGAAGAAGGAAGCGGTTGCTGCAGCTGCTGTTTTCCTCGGCCCAAGAAGTTATCAACCAGTTCATCTGCCTCTGAAGCTGACTCTGAAGAGAATATGTTGCGGAATGATGATGAAATGAATCTTTTTCTCGTTCCTAAGAAATTTGGAAACTCTAGCTTGCTTGTTGAGTCCATCCAGGAGGCAGCAATTCAGGGCCGGCCACTGGCAGATCACCCTTCTATAAAAAATGGACGTCAACCTGGTGCACTCACTAATCCTAGGAAGCCTCTTGATCCAACCATTGTTGGAGAAGCAATCAATGTCATCTCCTGCTGGTATGAAGACAAGAGTGAATGGGGGCAAAGTGTTGGGTGGATTTATGGGTCAGTGACAGAGGATGTGGTAACAGGGTATAGGATGCATGAACGCGGTTGGAGGTCTATATATTGTGTGACTAAGAGAGATGCCTTCCGTGGAACTGCTCCAATAAATCTCACAGATAGACTTCACCAGGTTTTACGCTGGGCTACCGGTTCTGTTGAGATATTTTTCTCCCGCAACAATGCACTTATAGCAGGCGGTCGGCTCAAGTTTCTGCAAAGAATTGCTTACCTTAATGTTGGAATATACCCTTTCACTTCCTTATTTCTTATTGTTTACTGCTTCCTCCCTGCCCTTTCCCTCTTTTCTGGTCAGTTCATAGTTCAGACCCTCAACATTACCTTCCTCGTCTACCTCTTGGTAATCACCCTTACCCTCTGTGCTCTTGCCGTGCTTGAGATCAAGTGGTCTGGCATTGCACTTGAAGAATGGTGGAGGAACGAGCAGTTTTGGTTGATTGGAGGCACAAGTGCTCATCTTGTTGCAGTGCTTCAGGGGCTACTAAAAGTGATTGCAGGAATTGAGATATCATTTACATTGACATCAAAATCAGCTGGGGACGATGTTGATGATGAATTTGCTGATCTCTATATCTTTAAATGGACATCTCTGATGATACCGCCACTCACAATCATAATGGTCAACTTGATTGCAATAGCTGTTGCAGTTTGCCGCACAATATACAGCACTTCACCAGCGTGGAGCAAGTTGATAGGAGGCGTTTTCTTCAGTGTCTGGGTATTGGTTCATTTATACCCCTTTGCTAAGGGTCTTATGGGAAAACGCGGCAAGACACCAACTGTTATATACATTTGGTCTGGTCTAGTGGCCGTTAGTATCTCTCTGCTTTGGGTTGCTGTCAATCCCCCATCAGGAAATTCCGATATTGGAGGAAGCTTCCAGTTCCCCTGAGTTGAATAGGACCCTGAGCCAGGCAGCCATTGCTATACTCATTCTTTGTATACCTATAGTCTGTAGATGTTTTCTTTAGCCTTCAGTTCACGTTGATATTGCTGCTCTGACGATACCATTGTTTCATTTGTTTCTTGATATATGAAAAATGTTTTTTGATACACTAAATCATTATGAAGTACACGTCCAGCCTGGATAATAGAGTAGAAAGCTAGTTTTGTTTTTTATTTTTTTATTTTTTAAACAATGATTCATTGTCTTCGTTTTCTGTTTGATTCTATGATTTAGTTTTGACTGTTTGGAATGTGAAGCAGAGATTATATCTTTAGAAATGCCAAACAATTATGGTTGTCCAATTAGTTGGCTGGGTCTATTCAAGCTACAGATTGGAGACTTTTTAGCCTTTGAGGAAAAGTCTCCTATGCCTCGAAAGTTCTTAAGAGGTTGGTAATGGTTTTTTTTAACAGAAGAGGTTGGTAATATGGTTGAACAACCAAGGGCACAGACTTTACTCTTTCAAACTTTTCTGCAAATTTAAAATTCATTAATGCATGTTGATGTTTGACATCTACCACTAATCCTTCCCTCTTGCAATTACCAAAAAAATAGAAATATTTGAGCAAATGGGGTTCCATCATGATGGTAATAGCTTTTATTTTTAGTCGCTTTCACCCGTGCATGCAGGTAATGGTTGTTCAGGAAGATGTGCAAATATTCAACTTATAAATTAAGTTATGAACTGGATTTTTGAGCAGATGGGGTTCTATGGTGTAGTGGTTAGCACTCTGGACTTTGAATCCAGCGACCTGGGTTCGACTCCCGGTAGGACCTTTGCTTATTTTGTTTCCATTTGCATGATAAAGAATTTGAATCATGTCTTGTCTTCCTTCCAACTTCATCGATTTATATTCATAAGACATCAAAAGGGCAGTTGTCTCTTTGTCTGAAATGAAATGATATAAATCATGTAATATTATATAATTAATTTTTGTATTTAAAAAATTATTCGCGAAATTGTAAATATAGAATTAATAATTCAATTATACATATATTTTTTGGGTTCGGTATGGTCATTACCCATTAGTAGTGATGTCAGCTTAACATTAATCTATGTACTTCTATTTACCACTACTATATTGCTATTACAGGAAAAATTAATTTAACGTGTTTATAAAAATTAAACAACACACCGTTAACAATTTCAATTTACAATTTTCACATCTCAGCCTGGGTGGAGCCGGAAGGAACCCGAGACCGTCTCTTGCGGCGGATCCTTGAGAGTCTAGCCTGTTTCCTGACACTGCCGCCGAATTTCAATCTTCCAGTCTCCTGGAACCGTTCCTGCTCCGACGAAACGAGGACGCATTCTGGTGGTGGGACAGCGTACCGCAATCGGTCGTAGCAGTACGAGTAGTACATGTAATGCTGGCGAAATTTACGCATGGCCGCCCGCCCCTCCGGAGTAATGACAGCGTAGTCGCGGCTCTCAAGGAAGGCGTTGCTCTCAGAGCAAACAGTGTCCAGAGATTCCTGTATGGGGTCGACGGGGCAGCCCTCCAAAGCAAAGTCTTTAAACTCGGAAGTAAAAGGCGCGTACTTGTAATCCACACCGTTCTTACCGCCGTTGGTGGCCCAGCTAGAGGCGTCCCATATGGTGGCGTAAAGTGACATCGGCTTCGACGGATAATCACCGCCCATTTCTTCATTACGGATCACTTCCCTGATCGGAACTTCATCAACGTAAAATCTGAAAATTTCAAAGTTTCCCAAATTTACCATGGTTAATGACGCTAAAGAAAGTCATTAAAGAAAAATTCCAAATTTTAAAATTTGTTTGATTCTTTCAATTTAAGAAAGTCAAGAAAAAAATAGTAAAAAAATATGAGAAACAGAGCATGTTAATGCTTAAAATTAGCAGCAATCAATGTTAGAAAGCCGACAGAACTTTACAAAAAGGAAAAGGAAAAAAGGAAAAAGGGAAAAAACCAGGGGGTGGGGGTGGAAGAATGTGGTCGGGTTTAGGACAACTTACACGATGTTCTTGGCTGTCCAAAGAATACTGTATCTGTGGAATTCCTTGGAGGGATCGAACCAGAGGCTGTATCTCTCCTCCCTTCCCCTGTTTGTGCTGCCGTTTCCGTACAAATTTGTCTGGAATCTCCATGGCTTCCCTTCGACGTTCCCTAAGAACTCAAAGTCCAGCTCGTCATGATTCTTCTCAAACACGTCGCCGTTTGATGTCTGCCCATAACATATCTGTGAGTTTCTTTCCCATTCTACGGAAATTTTGCCGGCCACCAAACAGAGGAGATGATATTACCATAGAAAAAAATCCCTTTTTTTTTTTTTTTACAAAAATGTTCCTAGACCCAATTCACATAAATAGAAACAAAATTATCGCTTACATAGAAGGCCACGACAACACCGGCAGTATGATCCGACGGTAGCTTGATTCTGGCGCTGAAGAATCCATGATGATACATACTCGAAGAAATGAAACCCGAACCTAAATTTTGGAAATTTATATATAACCCGTAAGATGTATAAAAAAAAAAAAAATTGCATATGTGTATGCCAATATATATATATATGTTACCTGTGTATACGTTGAGGAGGAGGCGGACGTTGCGCCCATCCGGCGACTGAACGAGGTTGCCATCGCCGAAGAGAGGGCTGTAACCTTCATCAAAGGAGATGGTGGAGAGATTGAAGGCAGCGGAGAAACGGAAGAGGAAGAAGAAAAGGAGAGAAAAAGATGGCAACGTTTTTGAAGAATAGAAATATAAACGATCCATTTTTCTTAAAAAAAAAAAAAATTAATTTTTGTTTTTAAAAAATTTCTGGTATCTGTTTATTTTCCTTTCATCTCCCTCTCCTTCGACCCTTTTGGCTTTGGAATTAAAGTCTGTCTATTTATACAGAGAAGAAAGATGGGCTGAGAATGGTTTTCGGCTGCTGTGGACTTTTGAATCGTGATTAAGAATACGTCCTTTTGATTTATTTTATCGTGGTAGTTGCAATTTCTGAATGATTTCTTTCTTAATCATTTCGATTTTTTTGAGTTATTAATTAAAATTTTACCATTTATGTTTCTCGATATATATATATATATATAAAGAATTGGAATGGACACGGTTATTGCCAGCAAAATTTTAGAAGTAATTTTAAAAAAAAATCATATTTAAAAATTTAATTTTTTAATTAATAAATATTAAATATTTTATAAATTAATAATTATAATTATTAGGTAGATTTATCAATTAAATTAAATAAAATTAATATTTTTAAAAATCATATTTTACAATTTTAGTAATCATAACATTTTTATAATAACTGTAACCATGCCCCCGATCATAAAGAGCACTAATTGAAGACACTTTGAAAATTTTTTTTTTCTGTCATATGTGGTTTATTAGATTAATGCAAGAGGTTCCATGCTAACAAAACAACATTCCATCAAGTAGCGCATAAAAATATTAAAAATGATATAACTATAATATTATATGATATTATAATTTTATAGTTTTAATATAGTATTATATGATTGATTATTTCATTTAAAAATTCACAAATTATATATTAACTCATTTAAGATTATATTATTATTGTAAACTATATCATTGTCTTTTAAAAACATTATGTCTCCAATTATATCAATAATGGATGGATAAGAATATAAGAAATGAGTAGAACAGGGGTTTTGGATTATATGGCATTGAGTTGATGAATATTACAATATTGGTTAAACCCTCCAACTTGATCGCTAAATTATTGTACAGACCTCCAATTTGATCTTTAATGTTTATCAATTTACTCTAAGTTTGTTATTTCATACAAAAAAAATTGATGTGTTTGTTACTTAATGGTAAAAAACAATAACTTAACGATCACGTTTCATATTAATAATAAGATACGTCAGTTAATTTTTATATCGAATAATCAACTTGAGACAAATTGATCAACTTGAGACAAATTGATCAACAATAGAATCAAATTGAGAGTCCATACAATAATTTATGGACTAAATCAATGATTTATTTAATTTAAAAACTAAATTAAGAGTTCATATAATAATTAAAGATAATAATTAAATGATCAAATTGAAAATTTAACCTACAATATTTTCTATCCTCCTTTAAAAAGTCAAAGAACAATTGCACATATTTTAGGGCAAGATGTTGAGAAAATACATTCTTCTTCCACCTAAGCTTAAAGGGAAAGGCAGAATGCCCACATGTCAAACACATGAGCCCGTGACCACCATCTTGTCTTTCGTTAGGCTACTCCATGTGGTATCCAGTCCATGAAGAACTTAACAAATTAATAAACACCAATCAAAATGAAAAAAACAAGGCTTTTCTTGACCGCCGAAAAAAAAAAATTCTAGAATACTGCACTTTACAGTCCATACCCAAATTCTTCCTAGGCAGTACTGTGATATATATATATATATATATAT